GGACCAGGTCCATTTCTTTGGGGGAAAACATGGGAGCTGGGACTAGCGTCTTTTTTTTTTGTTCTAGGCGGGTTTCAGTCCCGTGGCTTGTTGGTTTTTGTTTTTTTTTTGTTTTTATATTTTAAACCCCTTTGCACCTCCTCCAAACCCCTTTCCAGCTTTTAAATGAGTTTACTCATTTACACCGCTTTTAAAATGCTTCTAATGCATAAAATGTAAAAAACGAATCGAACCGGTGGGCGTAGCTCAACTAGTAGCGAGAGAGTGCCACAAGGGTTAGGTCTCGGGTTCGAATCCCGGCAACTGCGATGAAGGGTTACTATGCTGAAAAATGCATAGGGCTTCTTCAAGTACCGGGGATAGAGCCCCACTCTCTATCTGTCAGATTGTGATTATAGTCCAATTTACATCCTCCCATCGTGCCGTCCGGTCGGTGTTGGGGGCCCCTCAGGGATGGGGTGTCATCCTTTTTTTAAAAAAACGAATCGAGTCTAGACCGGACTAGCCGGTCTTAGTCCCTACCCCCCAAATAGGCAGCCAGAGAATGGTCCCTTGGGTTAGTCTCCTAACCAAATGGTCCAAATCATCATTACTATCGGTCCCATCAGTTCCCAAGAACTGCTAGCTCTTGGTTTGGATTGATTCTAGGACTTGAACCACGTCCTTATCTTGTGAGATTACACATGACGACATGAGTGTTATTTAGAGTAAGAGCTGGGGTTAACATGGACTGAATCTAGTTCGTTTCCAGACCAGTCGGAAGTCAAAACCGGAATTTTAGGGTAAAATATTTCGGTTGTAGTCGAGCAATATACAACTTCAAATACCCTATTCAATAAAATTAATAGAATTTGGAAACATTCTTGTGCTCTCTTGGAGGAATTAACTATTAAACGTGTAGTCCCTTCGGGGACATCCGATAAAATTGGAACGATGCAAAGAAGAATAGCATGACCCCTGCACAAGGATGATACACACAAATCGAGAAGCGATTCATTTTTTTAAAACTATTAAGCGTGATTGTACAAGCCCTTGTCCATGGTCTATGGCTATACGTGGGAATGGACTTAGGGGAGACGATTGTTTTCTTTTTACGAGCAATACAGAGAGGGGAAAAGAATCACTCTTGATGAGTCTCGAAGAGTGAGTACTGGAGACTTGTCCTTGGCAATGCTTAGTATTTTAGGGCGAAAAATCGCATGCATTTATTCCTTCAACTCACAATTGTGTCAATATATATAGTTGAGTTTACAACCAATTTTCGTGTTCTATATAAATCGATCAGAATAACAATTGCAACAAATCAACAAATCATTTACGGAGTAATATCAATGTCTCTTTCTATTATTGTAGTCTCTACTCCATTAGTTGCGTGCTGCTTTCCTTAGATATCTTATGCTACAAAAGAAATATATAACAATAGCCATTCCCAGAATGGATCTGTTCCAATTTGGGTGTTTTACCAATTTTATTCCGTCTGGTGTGGTTGCTGAATAGGGTCTACCCTATACAAGAGGATGTTTGGTAAATTGAAAGGTATAATGATTAGAATAAAAGTGTTGCTGGAGTGAATGTGAACTGAGGAACTTCAATTCCTCCTCTTTGAGGGGTACGGTTTGATGCCTAATCAAACCTGTTGCTTTCTAAAATGATCGCATTGACATCCTTATGTAGGCAAGCTGTTGCTTTCTAAAAGCATTGTGTTTTTGTAAGAAGGGGGCTCTCGCATTGTAGCCTACTCATACAGAACAAGGGTAGCTAGGGTGCAACCTCAATGAAGTGAAAGTTGAAAAAAAGTGTTTGTATAGACTTTTTTGTATACACGCCACTGAAGTGTGAACAACATAGGGGATCTAGGGAGGGGACAACCTAGGCCCCAGCTCACCCTAAATTTAAAAAATACCTAAAATTTTAAGGTAAAAAATCCTATGTAATTCCTCCCCCAAAACGTTGATTGTACCGTGCCGGTCCGACCCAGTGGTCTTGGCTTTGCTCCCAATGAACTGAGCTATTTAGGGACCAGTATTCCTTCTCTTTTCTTTTTCACCACTTTTTAGTGATTTCGTAATTTAATTAACCAATATCTGGAAGGGAAACAACTGAACAAGTGCATATTTTAATCAAGAAAAAACTAAAAATGATTGGAGGTTAATTTATGTTCCTCCCCAAGGCGGACACAAAACAAACCTGCCCTGTGAACCAATAATGAACACCAGATGCGGACATTACTGTTTGGAGGGACTCTTTTAACATTTTCTAATTCAGAATGTGCTCTATCCTTCCCAATGAAAAGCTATATAATGATATGGCCCCACAAAGTTTTTTCACGTCCAATAGTTTTGGTCAAAGACTGGAATTCAATTCAACTAATACTCCGTATAATGTGATGAAGATGATGAACACAATAAATATAAGAGTTTGTACTTTTTTTACGTCATTATAAGTGCTGTATATATACATAGAGTCCTCTTTTTTGTTTAATAAAAAAAAGCAATTTACGTACCCTACTAAATTCCGTTAATAATGTCTGTCTGGTGTCAAGTTGTGTTAATCGTATCAAACAATCACGAAACAGTAATATTTATCATCAGTTAAAAAAGAGTATTTCAAGAATTAAACAAATTTCCAAAAATTCATATTTCTTGATTGCATTAGATTTAAAAACGAATTTATTCATCAGATGGAGGCAGCAGGTAGCCCGACTTGTATAGAAGTACAGTATTGGTCAAATATAAATTTATTAGAAATTACTTCAAATAAGACTAAAACTATGACAAAAACTCAAAATATGACTTCCTATGTTTTTATTCCAAAATAGGACCGTAGTGGTCCTATTGGAAACATACTCATTTCTTCCTTCCATTCTTACTCATCCTTTAAATATTAGTAAAAGATAGCTAAAAGTCATAATTAAATGTTTAATTCCGAAAAAATTTCAATAATTCGTAGAAAAATAATAAAAAAATTAATAAAATTTTTATAAAATAAAATAAAAAGATTTTTTTTTAATTTTTTCTTTTTTGAAAATTAATAAAAAATAGTAAAACTCCATAAAAAAAATTAAAAAAATATGGATACCTTTCCCACCGCCTGTACTACCTCCCTGAACCACCACCTCCGATCGGTGTAAAAAATGCCATTTTTTTTAAATTCCACAAAATGACATATTTCTTTATGAGAATGTCAACATTTTCATTCTGCCAACTTGAATCCTTTTGACTTTTGTCAAAAATATGGCATTCATAATTTTTTTGGCATTTTTTACCCCGGTGACAGGAGGTGGTGGTACCGCCTCCCTGCACCACCACCTCCGACCGTTAAAAAAATGTCATATTTCCTACAAACTTCCATTTTTTTCGGAAAATGCCAAAAATATGGCATATTTCTCTTTGACAATGCCAACATTTTTTTCTATCATCTTAAATCATTCTGAATTATGCCAAAAATATGGAATTCATAATAAATTTGGCATTTTTCCCCAAATGACTAGAGGTGGTGTTGCTGGGGCGGCAGAGGCGGCAGTGACAAATTCTTTTTTTTTTTAATTTTTTAATTTTTTTTATTTTTTTTTTGATTTTTTTAAATTTATTATTATTCAAAATATTTTTATTAATTTTTTGTTGTATTTTACGAATTTTTATTATTTTTTATTATTTTATTATGAATTAAAACATTCCAATAGGTATAAGGGTATATTTATCCAAGACACACATAATTAGTCCTATGGAAACATAGTTTATTTTTTGGTCCTATTTATGCAAAGTGAATGACTTTTAGTCCTATTTTGATAATTAACTCTAAAAGGATAGAGGCAATTGAATATTAATGTATTCCCACAGTTTTTTATTTGTCCATTTCTTTAATTGTGGGAAAATTCTTTATTACGTACTTGTCTACCTATCAAATTCTAACAGCTTCCATTTATTCTTTCACGTTCTTTTTACCTTATTTACTATTCTTCTCATATTTCTTTCTACTTTTTTACACTTTTCTACCTACTCCCTCCGTCCCATTTATTTTGTCCCGTTTTATCTTTTCGGGAAGTCCGACTTATATTGTCTCATACCATATTTGGCAATGTTTGTGTGGCTCTAAATCATTCTTACTTTATTCTTACTTTATCAATTAATATCAACCACACAAACCCACTTTTCTTAATAACCGTGTCACCCTCTTCCGGGACAATATAAATGGGACGGAGGGAGTATATGGCTACATACGAAGTATTTCATATTCTCATCATTCATGCTTTTTTATCTACACTATTCCAGCTTACCATTTTCCTTAAATTCCATGAGAAATATATTCACGCACATATAAAACTGAAGTGTGTGTTATACCATTTATTTTATTGTCATTCAAACTCATATTTCAATCTAACTTATAAGAGAAAAATATTACGAAACAAAATAAGATTATAAATGAATTGCCCTTGAAAGGACCAAAATATGAACTAAACTTATTAATAGGACTAATTATAACTTATTCAGGAAGCAAAACTTATGAATATTATTACTTTTTTAAATCGAAAATAATGTAGTATTCCCGAAACAAAACTTATTTAATCCTACTAAAAACCAAAAAAGCGCGTTAAAACATCGTTTGAGAAGCGTGTTTAATTTTAGGAAAGTAATATTTGTTTTATTTGGGATACTAATTAATGTTTTGATTCTATATCTGTGATTTTTTGTAAAATTATTCGTTAGGTTAGGTTGTGGACTTGTGAGTTGTGGCTAAGGGTGAGTGCCGGTTCGACCAGAACCGCTTGGACCAAAACCGAAATTCTTAAAAACAGTGGACTGAAGACTGGACCTATAAAATTTTGGTCCATACCAGACTGGATCGGATTATTCGGAGTTTATCCGGTCCGGATTGGCGCGGTAATGGACCAGATTTGTATTTTTAGTTAATTAAATAAAAAATTAAGTTTGATCGATGGCTATTAATTTATTTAAACATAAACTTTTCTTGAATAAATATTCAAATAAAATCAAATCCAATTAGTTGTTAATACGGAGTATTTGTTACATACTACGAGTAGTACATTTTGGAAATAAAATATACGGAGTAATACGGAATATGTATTTAAAAAACAATACTTAACTAATTACGGTCCAAAGGCCTAAATATTCTGGATTTAGACCAGACCAAATTGGAAATTTTAAAAACCTTGGATCGAAGACCGGTATGTACTATGTAACCAGTCCAACTCCGGTCTGGACCAACCGGTCTGGTTCGATCCGGTTTTTCGGTGTGGACCGGATTATGCTCACCTCTTCTTTTAGCAAAATTAGAGGCTCGGATTAATTTAGCCCCGGTCCCTTCCTCTTCGTACACAATTATTCATGCATGGAAAAAAATATATAGATAGATTCATAGATCTCACGAGAAAATATACATAGAACTATTCTTTTTTCATGGCAAAACTATCACCAAAAACACATAAAGCTTTTCTTCTCTTTATGCTCTGTGGTTTAGCAGTAGTGCTCTCCGGTAACCAAGATGGCACCACCACCAACGCCGCCGTACACGACAGCCGCACCACCATCAGCATGGGAAATGTATTGAGTGCTCCTGCAGGTTGGGATTTTGGAGTGTCTGTTCATGAGGTTCCTAGCGGGTCGAATCCGGGAAAGAATGACAAAAACACGGGGGTTTTGAACAAGCCATGCAAAAAGACGGGAGTTCCTCTTAGGGTACTAAAAGACGGGATTCGGAATACAGAATTCCGAATGAATTAGGTTGGTCTCACACTTTGATTCGGAAGTTCCAATTCCGAACGACAGAAGATTTTTTTTTAAAATGTGACTTCCAATTCGGAAGTTGGATATCCGAATGAGTAAAAGCCTCCAAAATACGAATGTATTATTGAGCTCCAATGCTCCATGATCCCAACCATAAGTTTCCAAAAAAGAATGAAGCTACGTGTTTGCAATTCATCCACATTTTCTACATACAGCTATGACATACTCCGTATAAAAAGAATGAAGCTACGTGTTTGCGTCCCCAACTTCTTCGGCCCATCAATCTTGGAGATCTTCCTTATGTAGGTATGATTCCAATTTAATCTTAATAATTAAAATGTTGTATGTTTTTTTAATTTTTTTAAGCATGGTGAAATGATGTTTGTCAACAATAAATATAGGTGGGTCGGACCCCATTCATTTTCAGAGGGTGGAAGACACGCGTTGCCCGTTTTACGAGACCTTTTAGACCGCATGAGGGAGAGTCAAGTAGTAATTTGAATTCTACTTTTAATACAATTGTCTTTTAGTACGAGCTATCTCATTATTGTTTAATTAACATTATACTTTTACAGTTTGTATGGACCCCCTATCCCTTGGGCAATCTTCCTGAAGACATCAGAAATCAATCCAGGCTTTGGTTTGCTGAGGTTATGCTAATTTTTTTGCGATTATGCAGAGAGGCATTACCCCGACCGGTTTTGTCGGCAGTTCTTTGCCATTCAGAGAGAGCCAAAACCCACTTTCCAACGTACAGACCATCACATCATTAGCTCCCGCGCTAGTGCAGCTTCGTTAGCATTGTGGGCGGAACGAGATAGGCATTTATACGAACCTACATGGCCCCCTTTTGACGGGCGGAATGTGGCTGATGGGTATCGTACGTGGTACGCACGGACCGGTTGGAAACGTGTCGTGAACCCTTCGCATGCTACACCCACGACGGGCTACACCCCTGCAATACGTGAGTTGGGTGTTACGATAAGTTTCTAATTACATACAATACTCATTAATAAGTTTTCCTTTATAATATTTACACTAATTGATTTTTATTGCAGTTGCAGTGCATTCATGATACCTATCAGCTTGCTGATAATTTGGCCGATCACGAGGATATTAAAGATCGGCTAGCACAGTGTGTTATAGCATTAGATGTAGAAGATGTGCTCCACCAAGGCATCTTCCATTACCCAGATGCAGACAATGAGCCCGGTCCCATACCTCCTCCTAGGCAAGATCGCCGCGGTTACGTTGCAACGCATAGAGTGGCAGCTGCTGACAGAGATGATGCGGGAGATGAAGATGAATATGAAGAAGATGAGGACGAGGGTGATAGGGATGAAGAATATGAGCCACCGCCATATTCTACTCCTAAAGAGTACTATACGTCGACTGAAGCATAACGTGTTCCGAATAACGTGTTTTGAAAAGTCGTGCATTAGTATCACTTATACGGTAGGTATGTATCGTATAATGTATTAGTGTGTATCTTTTAATTTGAACTATTATAATTAATCAATTTATGTATTAGTGTGTGTTTGTATACTAAGGATGTTTTCTTTTGGACTGAAATTTGCTGGTCTGGTCTGAACTGGTCTGGTCTAGTCTGGTAAACGTCTGGTCTCTGTGTATTTTATAACTATCCAAGTCTGGTCTGGTCTGGTCTATTTAAGTTTGGTCTGGTCTATTTAAGTTTGGTCTGGTCTAGTCTGTTTAAGTCTGGTCTGGTCTGTTCTGGGACTGAAAACAGTCCAAAAGAAAACATCCTAATAAGAAATTTTAAACGGGTCTTCAGTCCTGAACGAGTCCGATCATATGTACCATATCCGGTTTATTAAAATACCAAGGTGTCTAGTTTATACTACTATATTTTTCGAAAGGGGGTCCAATTTATTCATTAATTAAAAATAGCTTTATATCAATTTAAGTTGTATCACTAAAATAAAAATAGAAATTACCATTTCGAACTCCATCATCCGAATGGGATAACAAAAAGTGAAAAAAATTGATTTGGAACTCCAACTTCCGAATGGATTAAAAAGCAAAAAAAAAAAAAATTGTTTCGGAACATGGGTTTCCGAATGGGTGAGTTGCGCCTAAACCCTAATCTATTCGGAAGATGTGTTTTCGAATTCCGTATTCTTAGAAATCCCATGTTTTTTCCCGTGTTTTTACCTTGCATGTTGGCTTTTCCCGTGTTTTGAGAAAACGCCCCGAATCCGGAGCAAAACAAGTAAATCATGTCTTTCAGTGTAGCTGGTAATTAATTATTAAATCAATCCATGTAATCATACATATAAATTGATAGTATAACATGTATAATAATTTAGTTCTACCGTTCTACCCACTTTAATTACCAAAATACTCCCTTTATGTATATTATTACAATATTACTTTTGTCCCACTCAACTTTTGCCAATTTTATATTGGGTGTCAAGTTAGAAAAGTAAAAATTGTGTGGTTGGATTTGTGTAGAGAAGAAAGAAATGAATAAAGCCACAAATTCAATGCTTTAAAAGGAAAGTGACAATGAACAAGAACCTATGTAGCACGAATACTTGACTAGGGTACCATATCGGTGTATCGAAATGTCCTCGTATCAGATACTTTAGGATACTTGTATCGTACGTTCTCGAGCTTTATATGCAATTCATTAAAAGTTTCCATTTTTTGGTAATTGTTTTAAAAATTTGGATACATGTATCATGAGTCATGACAGATACACATATCAACTTTTTTAAAGAAGAAACACCCAAAAATTAAATAATAAAAAGTCTTTAAAAGTATTATTTTCTATCTACATTGAAAATCTTTTATCTACAAACTTTGAATACTTTCACTTTTAATTTCAAAATTATTAACTATATTTATATTTCGAGATTCACTAGTGTATATGAGATAACGTTTGAATTTATTTCTAACTATCTTGATAATGAGAAATGTTTTAATGTCATGAATGGGCAAGGGATATATAATAGATGTATATATTTTCAATAAAATTCTTTAAAATTTTAATATTTATAAATACATCTCTATTATTTTAATGTTTATAATTACACCCCATAACTTTTAATATTTATAATATACCCATGTATACGTATCCATTTTTTTCATATCCAAGTACCCGTTTCCATGTATCCGTTTCCGTGTTTTCGCGTTCTCGTATTGGTGCTACGTAGCCAAGAACTTCTTGACAGGGAGCGGGTGTGGGACACAAACTTGATAATAACCACTTTTCAAAATAATAATTATATACTCCGTAGTAATTTAGGCATTTTTTTCTAATAGGCATAATTTACCTTTTTTTTTTATCTCATGCCCCAAAATTAATATTTGATACTTTATGAGGACTGTGTAAGAAAAATGTAATTGAATTAGATGTCGATAAATCTAATTTTACAAGAAAAAATGGACTGAAGTTACCCAAGAGTAAAACCTCAAATTATATTCTCATTTGCATTTCTGAAGAAAAGATTAAGATGTGCAAATAATGAAAACTGTTTTAACTCTCATATACTATGTATCAAAATTATTATGATCATAAGATATTTAAATTTGAATTTAGTGATATTCTTTATTAATCATAACAAAAATGTAACGAATTATTATATTTATTATTATTTTTGATGGTATATTAAACTTATTTAGTAACTCAAATAAACAATTCATCAATGATTAAATGAGTTGACAAAGTTTTGCTGGACTTTCTTGACGTAATTAACCAGTTAATGCACTATTTGGGCTTTGAATGAAGAGATCGAAAATGACAAATATATTAAATTTGCACTTTTGAAAGATAAAAATATGATTAGTTTTCATTTTTAATAAAATGTGACTAACCTTTTTTAATAATATACATTTCTTTTAAATCTAATTCCTAACCAACCACCACATCTCTCCCCACCCACCCCAACCATGCTGCTTCGAGAAACAACCACAATTGGCCACCAAAAAACCATTGCAATTTTTAGAAAACTTTATTAGAAAGGTTTTATGTCGACAGTGACACCAACAGCGGAAACAATAACACCATAAGTCACTGATAGTGCCCAATAAACTGATACTGACATACATAACATGAAAAACATTTTTGTGCAACACTTTTTCATCGTCAAAACTTAAAAGTTAATATTTTTCTCGCCCATTATATTGTGCAACTAAATAAATATAGTCATAAAGTTGTTGCCTAAGTATCGGGACCCATTGAACTTTAAATGATCCACTAAATATTTATTGTCCAAAGTAATACTTATGCATCGTCAAATATTTGTTACCTAAAGTTATAATTGTGCATCACAATCTTTCATCACTCAAGGAAGTATATGTGCAACATTTTGTTAGATGTGGTTGGATGTTGCATCGATCTCTATGTTGCCCATATGCCTTTTTGCAACATTTTTTATATCTGTTGAGTTTAATCCAACACGATATAGTAAATATATGTATGAACACTCAGTTTTTACGTGGAAACCCGAAAGGGAGAAAACCACGGGACTTTTTAGGCTAATGTCCAAGCCCTCTCTTTCTCATTAGGACTCTCCTCACAATTACATTGTACAAGCTCCCATTAATGGAGTATTGAGCTAAGTCTAAAAGAATGAGGGAGGTGAAGCTAAAAAAGGATCCTTTACATGGAGGGAAAGCCTCCTATAAATAGGGAAAGGGGTGAGGGAAGTACTCCACCCTAATGGGCCAAACGGGCCGATGTCGGGCCTAATGGCCAAAGTGGGCCGGACGGGCCGAAATGGGCCTAGCTGCTCGGGCTCCGTACTGGATAATGTCTTGGGCTCCTGAACAGTAATAGGCCGGGATAATATATCCCAACACAAGTCCCCCAGTTTCTTGAGTAGTGAGCTCGCGAATCTGCTTGAGAAAATATACTCTGCCTGCGCTCTTCCTCTGTCTTGCTGGAAACTGTGTCTTCACATAATCATAATATATGAGTGAGTGTCTGCACTCCTGAACGTAATCTACCAGTGAGGCACCCCCCTTTCCGACAGGGTCGGGCGAAGGGTGCTCCTTCACGGGCACACTCCCCCTGAATGCATCAGGCGGGAGTAAAGCACTCTGACTCGAGCTTTCCAATCGGAGAAGCTTAGAGGTCCATGCATCTATAAACCGACGTCGCGGTACTGTCAAGACACGATGCACGTGTGTATGTATGAATGTATGAGGTATGATGCATGAATGCATGTAATGTATGGGTGCAATGTATGAGAGAGGGAATGCGAGATGTGATAGGAGCGGTAGCTCTCAACGAGAACTCGAGCATGTCAGCGCCGAGAGGCAGACGTGCTGCACAAGACGGGTCCCCCATCCGGGATGGCATGAGCGGAGCCGAAGATGGACTAGACATGATGCCGCCGAGGGGCCAATTGTGCTACATAAGAGACGTTCGTCGCCATCCTGAAAGGGATGGGCGACCCTAACGTGAGCCAGACACGATGGCGTTGGGGCGCTGATCGTGCTGCATAAGAGACGTTCGTCGCCATCCTGAAAGGGATGGGCGACCCTAACGTGAGCTAGACACGATGGCGCTGGGGCGCTGATCGTGCTGCATAAGAGACGTTCGTCGCCATCCTGAAAGGGATGGGCGACCCTAACGTGAGCCAGACACGATGGCGCTGGGGCGCTGATCGTGCTGCATAAGAGACGTTCGTCGCCATCCTGAAAGGGATGGGCGACCCTAACGTGAGCCAGACACGATGGCGCTGGGGCGCTGATCGTGCTGCATAAGAGACGTTCGTCGCCATCCTGAAAGGGATGGGCGACCCTAACGTGAGCCAGACACGATGGCGCTGGGGCACTGATCGTGCTGCATAAGAGACGTTCGTCGCCATCCTGGAAGGGATGGGCGACCCTAACGTGAGCCAGACACGATGGCGCTGGGGCGCTGATCGTGCTGCATAAGAGACGTTCGTCGCCATCCTGGAAGGGATGGGCGACCCTAACGTGAGCCAGACACGATGGCGCTGGGGCGCTGATCGTGCTGCATAAGAGACGTTCGTTGCCATCCTGGAAGGGATGGGCGACCCTAACGTGAGCCAGACACGGTGGCGCTGGGGCGCTGATCGTGCTGCATAAGAGACGTTCGTCGCCATCCTGGAAGGGATGGGCGACCCTAACGTGAGCCAGACACGATGGCGCTGGGGCACTGATCGTGCTGCATAAGAGACGTTCGTCGCCATCCTGGAAGGGATGGGCGACCCTAACGTGAGCCAGACACGATGGCGCTGGGGCGCTGATCGTGCTGCATAAGAGACGTTCGTCGCCATCCTGGAAGGGATGGGCGACCCTAACGTGAGCCAGACACGTGGCGCTGAGAAGCCGATCGTGCTGCATAAGACGGTCGTCGCCATCCTGGAGGGAATGGGCGAGCCGAACCGTGAAGCCAGGTACGATGGCGCTGAGGGGCCGATCGCACTGCATAAGACGTTCGTCGCCATCCTGGAGGGAATGGGGCGATCCGAACGTGAAAGAGACACGATGGCGCTGAGAAACCGATCGTGCTGCATAAGACGGTCGTCGCCATCCTGGAGGGAATGGGCGAGCCGAACCGTGAAATCTAGGCGCGGTCCGTCTTGGCTGGCTATGAGAAGCCGATCGTCTGTCAGGACTTCATCCTGGGAGGAAGGGTGGACCTGGGCGTCGTCCCTCTGTCTGATCTGGGGAGCTGGTATTCGTCGTTCAAGGCAAAAGAAGCCTGATGTTAGCCGATCGTCGTCAGCCACTTCATTCTTCGTACTTAAGTTTTGTAATTATTCTTTATATATTTTTTTCAGTTTGTACTTCCCGGCCAATAGCGCCGAGGGATAAAATCATTCTTTGCTCCGTGCTCTTCTGGCATCTTTTTTTTTTTTTGGAGTCTTTTAGTCTTCGTTCGTCCTTGGTTCTTGGTCCTACCGGCGTCCTTACTTCGAAGGATGTCCGGTATCCTCGAAACTCGCAAGGAGGAACAGGTTTATCTACATCGAGATTCCCCCTTTTTCGTTCGTCCGTGGTCCTTTTAGTCCTACCGACGTCTCTTGCTTCGAAGAGGACGTTCGGTATCCAAGGAACTCGCAGGGACGAACTGGTTTACCCTCACGGGTTCCCGGCTTTGTTATCCCACGTCCATCGATCCATGGTCATTGTGGGATAAACAGGTTTATCCTGGCAAAGCTCCCTTGGTTCGTCTAGCCCCCTCCGCGTCTCTACTAACCTCTACATCGAGAGGCGTTCGTCTTCGGCGGTGGGAGAAGATCTGGCACGCCCGACAAGATTCCCTTCCACGTAGGAGCTCCCCTCCTCTTCTCCCCATTTTTTTTTTGAGGGAGGCAATCTATATTCTTCGTTCGTCCTTGGTTCTTGGTCCTACCGGCGCTCTTGCTTCGAAGAGACGTTCGGTATCCGCGAAACTCGCAAGGAGGAACAGGTTTATCTACATCGAGATTCCCTAGCTCTTCTTTTTCCGTCCCTGGTCCGTGGTCCTACCGATCTTCCTACATCGAAGAAGACATTCGGTATCCAAGAAACTCGCAGGGATCACGGGATGTCACACATAATGGTGGTGGCATGGCGAACGAATATAATGACAAGACGATAGAATAGCTGGTCGTCATGCGAAGGCGATGGTCACCCTCCTGGAGGGGAGGGGTGAGTCCGATCGCTAACTCAAGAAAAGGTTGGCATTGGGAGCCGACAAACAATGATCATAATGTCGCTGAGCAGTCGGTCCTGATAAGGAGATGGCAATAGTGTCCGGTCAGGCCGATATATCCGTGCAACGGCTCTCATCCACGCAGCGCGGGGATGAAACCGGTCTTCAAAAGATAAATATGTCGTGCCGAGAGGCCGAACATGATGTGATAGTGTCGGCAATGAGGGGCCGACCTGAAAGAATCAAGCAACGGCCCTCATCCGCGAGGAGCGGGGATGAGGCCGGTCTTCAAATATGGAAAGCACGCCGAGCCGGGAGGCCGGTCGTGATATAATGGTGTCGGCAATGACAGGCCGACCTGAAAGAACCAAGCAGCGGTCCTCGTCCGCGAGGTGTGGGGACGAGGCCGGTCTTCAAAAGATGAACACGCCGAGCCGAGGGGCCGGTCGTGGTATGATAATGTCGGCAATGAGATGCCAATCAAGATATGGTCAAGCAACGGTCCTCGTCCGCAAGGTGGCGGGGACGAGGCCGGTCTTCGAATATGATAATCGCGCCGGTCCGAGAGGCCGGTCGTGATATAATGATGTCGGCGATGAGAGGCCGACCTGAAAGAAATCCAGCAACGGTCTTCGTCCGCGCAGCGCGGGGACGAGGCCAGTCTTCAAAAGATAAGCACGCCGATCCGAGAGGCCGGTCGTGATATAGTGATGTCGGCAATGAGAGGCCGATCTGAGAAAACAAGCAACGGCTGTCATCCGCGAGGAGCGGGGATGAAGCCGGTCTTCAAATAAGATAATCATGCCGTGCCGAGAGGCCGGTCATGATATAATGATGTCGGTAATGATAGGCCGACCTGAAATCCAAGCAACGGTCCTCGTCCGCGCAGTGCGGGGACGAGGCCGGTCTTCAAAAGATAAACACGCCGTGCCGAGAGGCCGGTCGTGATATAATGATGTCGGCAATGAGAGGCCGATCAAGTGTACCCATGCAATGGATCTCATCCGCGCAGCGCGGGGATGATACCGGTCTTCAGAAGATGATAATCACGCCGTGCCGAGAGGCCGGTCGTGATATGATTGTGTCAGTTGGCCCTCGGCCGCGGTGGTCTCCTCTAGGCCTTCGGCCTCTGGATGATGGATGATCGTCTCACGGTTCTTCGTCGTGGCAGTTCCCTCTAGACCCTCGGCCTCTAGGTGTTCTTCCTAGGCCATCGGTCTCTGAGGTGGAGATGCTCGTCTCTCGGCTCTCAGCCGTGATGGTCTCCTCTTTAGCTGGCCCTGAACGTCTTCAAGACTCGGGCCGAGCGTCTTTTAATCATTTCGCTCGAGCGTGTCGAGCAGCTTCAGCTGCGCAATAAGGGTTGGTTTGCAATTGCTTTTAAAAAAGCACTTCTCAGCTTTTGGCTTTAAAAAAGCACTTATTTTCCCAAACACTACAACTTTTATTTTTCTCGACTTCCGCGTCAAAAGTGCTTTTACTTTTTCTATTACACAAAAAACACTTATTTTACCAAACACTACCCACTTTTACTTTTCAAAATCACTTTTTTCTCAAACACTATCAACTTTTATTTAATCACTTTTCCTCATTTCATTTAAAAAAGCACTTTTTTAAAAGCAGAAGCTGTTGCATGATAACGGGCCGCACGGCCCGACAGTATATATACATAGCCATCTGTGTGGCTTTCTCTCTAACACCTACGATTACCGGCCTATGGGTTATCGTGACCCTCGGCCCGGCTCATCGTGCGGGGTTAATGGACGTAGCAGCTCGCGGCGGGGCCAATTAGCAGCCCGCCGAACGTCACATAGAGATATTCACCGGTCTGTGAGTTTTCAACTCAGACCCAAGTTAGTCGCACTGCCCTCGGAAAAACGAGGTTGAGTGCTTTGGTGCCCTCGGGCCCCATAGGCCACGTTTGGCAATAGTCACTTCGCGCCTAGCGGCGCGGATTACACTGGGGTATGATCGTCGATCGGGCACGTAGTGCCATGCGGACTAATGCGCACCCCTCAAACTAAAATGCGTCGTCGGGGCATCGCCCTTCCGGGGACGCTCGGATCACTTAATCAAGCTGATCGAGAGTGGGCCAACAGGCCCCACAAAAAATTAAATACTTAATGAAATGTTAGCTGAACTAACCATCACTTGAGCTTCGCTCCGCATTATTTAATTCGGGACATTTTATCCCCAATAAATAATAGTGATATAACCGGTAATAGCAATGATACTTTCCTATCAGAGGCCATTCAAGTATACTCCGTTCGCTAATTAAAGCCGATCAGGAGCGGGCCGACGGGCCCACAACAACCAGTCATTAAATTAAAATGACGGTGAAACTAATTTTCACTAGAGCGTCGCTCGGCATTATTTAATTTCGGGGCATTTTAACCCCTAATAAATAATGGTGATAGAATAATTTAACTAATGGCACTAGTTAATTCGTACTACCCTATAGCATGCAACGTTAAATGTAGAGTGATTTACCTAAATGGGAGTAATTAAATTCCTAATTGCCAAAATAAGACTAAAGTTTAAAAGTTCCCTAAATAGGACTTATTATTTGTAGATGGACAGAAGTACCCCAGAATTTGACAAAACAGACTGACACCTACAGAATACCGGACCGGCCACCGCCGGTAACCGCCGACCTCCGCCGTCGGTCGCCGCCGTAACCTCAAAACTAGCCGCCGCCGCTGGCCGCCTATGCAGATCTGACCGTTGCCGCCGTAGATCAGGCCGCCGCCTCTCTAAATCGAGTTAGATCTTACCTCCGCCGACCGCCAATTGCCGCCACTGCAGATCCAAACGCCGCCATCACAGATCCGGCCGTCGCTATGGCAAATCTGACTGATGCCACCACTGATGCCAACTTTTTTTTTATCAAAATGCCAACATGAATTGAAAATGCCATTTTAATGACATTTTCAAAGAAAATTATTAAATTTTTAAAGAATAAGAATGCCATTTTGAAGGCATTTAAACGAAAAATTGGCAATGTAAAAATGAAGTAAACCACACCAGTTTACTTTCAAATCTTATTGACAAACGTAGAGGCAGCAAGCTAGTACAAACCAAAACCGAGAAAAAAAAGATGCAAAGCTCACAGAAATTCGTATAAAACAAAAGAAGAAGCAAAGAGGCAACAAGGATGTTGCAGATCGACGGAAAAGAAGAGAGAAGAAGACCACGCAGCTTGGCACCACCACAACCGCACCAGATTCAATCGGAAAAAAATTGAAGAAATAGAGGAAGCAAAGGAAGAGACAGACCACATACAGTCGTTGCCGCTGCTCATCGGCACTCGCCGGCGCTCGCCGGCGCTACTTGCCGGCACTCGGTGCCGCTGTTGCTGCCCGCCCCCTCTGGCAGTTGAAGCCCTGCTATGTGTAGAAGATGCGACCCTTGGGCGTAGACGAAGCTTATGAGTTGCGCAGGGTTGAAATGAATTAGAGGGTCAAATTGGGAAAAGGGTCCTATATAGGGAATAAAATTAAGTCTACTCCTATTTTGGAATTTTAACAATAATTTAGTCCTATTTAGGACAATTTTGCCTTAAATGTATCAATTTTGAGAGCAAGCAATTAAGTGTAGATACTTAGCTCTCTTGAGGAGTAGGTTCGGCCAGATTATTAGCCCTGACCTAGTCAAATTGAGCCTCCCCACCACATCGTGACTTGGTCAAAATTCCCCCAAGTAAGGTGGCCCTCCATTGTTTGGCCTCAGACACGCAGACGTGGTCTGCTTAGAACCAAGGTAATCTGAATGGTACTCCGTATCTCAGGGAGACTAACAGGGGCATCTGCTCATCGACCCAAGGCCAGACTATCCTCGCCGGCTACTCATCAAGGGCGGCACAGCCGAGCAAGCGTGGCCGGAAAACCAGTCTTCCGGTGGAAGCTCAACTGGGTTACTGGATATACCTCTTCTGAACTCGCAACCACCATTAATGGCCGAAATCATGAAGCTCTCAACTCGTAGAACCCTCAGGTCACGTCGGCAGGGACTCTGGTGCCCGAGAAGAGACCGACCAGGGGAGAAGCGGCACGCGGTGGTCCGCTGAAGACGGGCGGCGGCTCGGGAGGCAGAAACAGCTACCGGCGACAAGCAACCGTGTTGTAGACGGAGTTTTAACTGGACCGGGACGGCGAAATCTTGGACGCTGCAGCGAGTTCCGCCTGGTGCCGGCAGACACATCGGAGGTTCCATGCCGGAGGAGGCGGCGGCTCAGGCGACCTCAAAAACAGATTTGGGAAAAATCCAGATCTGGACTTCCCATATTTCGTTGCTTCCTCGTTTCTCCCTTCCCAGAATCCTTCCTAGATTTTTTCTTCTTTTTTGGTGAAATCAGTCCACTTCGTATGAATTTTTGTGTAGAACACATGAATCTTTTTGGACAGATTTCCACAGACGGCGCCAATGTTGAGTTTAATCCAACACGATATAGTAAATATATGTATGAACACTCAGTTTTTACGTGGAAACCTGAAAGGGAGAAAACCACGGGACTTTTTAGGCTAATGTCCAAGCCCTTTCTTTCTCATTAGGACTCTCCTCACAATTACATTGTACAAGCTCCCATTAATGGAGTATTGAGCTTAAGTCTAAAAGAATGAGAGAGGTGAAGCTAAAAAAGGATCCTTTACATGGAGGGAAAGCCTCCTATAAATAGGGAAAGGGGTGAGGGAAGTACTCCACCCTAATGGGCCAAACGGGCCGATGTCGGGCCTAATGGCCAAAGTGGGCCGGACGGGCTGAAATGGGCCTAACTGCTCGGGCTCCGTACTGGATAATGTCTTGGACTCCTGAACAGTAATAGGCCGGGATAATATATCCCAACAATATCAATTGTAGCCTATATTTTATTTGTGCATTAATTTATGGTCTCATATGAGTCTTTTCAGAAACAAAAGTGTACATTTCTTTACTCATATAGAAACACTTTGTGAGACTGTATTAGTTATTTACCACACTAACTCATATATGTGTGTATAAATGTAAGCACACTTGCTACAATATTTCAAACTTAAGACTATGATAATAGATAAAAAGATTTTGATATGCTCTTGTAAATCAAAATATCTTAATTATTTCTCCATATACCAAAATAACTAATTTCTCCATATTCAATTCTATGAAAATGTTCTAAATTACTATAATGATGAGAGTTTTTGTGTTTTTTCAACTCATTTCGTGTCAACTTATGTACAACATTTGCGAATATAAAAAGCATATAGTGAATATCTTGCAAAAAAAAGCATATAGTGAAGGGCATACGTAATAATATTAAACAATAAACACGAATTAGTGCATAAATCCTTGAAGTGTCCTGTTATGTATCCATATCACTCTCTCTAAAAGTTACCTCCTGGTGTACTGATTTGCTGGAGTAGTATGTTTTTTTTGTTAAAAAAACTACTAACAATGCATACACGATTAGTAGAAATCTTCCAAATACATTCTTTAAATCATGGATAATGAATATATCCAAATACATGTTGAGAGCAGTAATATAATACATATAGGGCAGTTATCAACATTGTGCAACGGTCCAGTGTGTGATATGGAGTCTCGCAAAATTCATGGTAATGAATATGGAGATATGATTCTTTTTACCATTGACAATATTAAACATGTCTAGGAATTGAAAAAGAGAGATCATTACACGTGATAGGCCAGACTTCATGGACTGAAGTATCAAAATTCTTACTCCGTATTATATTGGTACGCACACGGCAGGCCAACATATACTTCAATTACAATGCCAGTATTTGTTTTACTTACAAAGAAAACACGTGAAGTTTCTTTACTTAGCAAATCAATAAAAGATTGAATGAGAAAATAATAAGCAATCTATTTGGTACAGAGTAATGCGTTGTAAAAAAGCACTCTATTTGGCAGAATATAATTGGGTGTAGTATTATTGTTGTAGATTGTGGAATTTTGTATATATTTCACAACCTTCTTAAAAATGAAGGAGCTTGTAGAAGTGAAAGAGCTGTCGGGGCTAAGTCACATTTGTTCACCACCTCTACAATAGTCTACACGTCGAAGAAATAAAACACCACGGGTATATATTTTTTCTAGTTTAAAGAAAAATCAAGAAACCCAAGATGAAGAGAGATGGTTAGTTTCGACAATATGATGATTAACTAATTGGATTTCATTAGCAAATACGCAAGAATTTAATGAAGAATTGTGTACCTTAACCCAAGATAGATGAGCGACCGCTCTTTGCTTTCTTCAATTTCTATGTAGAGCGCCTATATAGATTTATGGTTTCTACTGAAGAAGTATTCAAATTGTACCATAACGGAAGAAATCAGAAAAATATATACTATACGTCTATACCAGACCGGATCAAAATTTTCTAATAATATGGTACGATATTGGTTCTTAAGTCAGAGCCTCCACGGAACCGTCGTAGAACCGTATTGACCCGGACCATTCTGAATCGTCTCGAAAAATCATTGATATTATATAATATATTATATTCTATATTACTACGTATTATTTATATGAATTATAGCGAATAACCTAGATTGTGGTAATGGACAACCAACCTCAATGTGGAAGGAGCGATGGCTACCAAGGGCGGGAGATGCAATGGAATAATTCACACAACACCGCCAGCTGGGATTGTGTTGTTGGAGATTTATTGAAAATAAAACTCATTTGTTAAATTACATGGTCCTTAATCATTTTATTAACAAATGATGTGATTCGTTAAAATGATTTTATTTATGTAATAATAAGAATAATAATAATTATATATAATATGAGAACACTTGTGCACGCGTGGTCTCATAATGAGTTATGAGTATAATAATGTTACTTTAATATGTTTGCTCAATATATATACTCATTTCAAAATCTTAAAATTTACTATTTTAAAAGATGCCATTTTGCCACAACACATGTTTCGTGTGAAAAGATTTACATTAAATTGGAATTCTTTATTTAAAGAATATGTACGTGTATTTTTGATGGAGTCGCATCTTTTCATTGCTTCATAGCTGTTCTACGAAAGTTCATTCCGGTTGATTGAAAATTAAAGTGTCCTTTTAGAAAATTGCCTTTCACTTATAAATAACGAAGAGGACCATGTCAACATATACACGAATGAAATCAATTTTTCAATCTTTTCTTGCCCCACTGAGTACTGATATCTGCAGTGTTAGTGGTAGAGTAGTTAGACCACTTTATATGCACATACTTGTTAAGTGTTATTTTATCAGTAGCTAAAATACACTTGTGCATCTTGTTTTTATCCCAAAAGTTCTATTTTGTAACCTGGTTACTGTGACCAGGGTAGATAGTAAACTGTTAGGAAAGCGTAAATTTTACGTGACTAGAAGTGATATCCGGTCCCGAGCCATTTCACACCCTTATATTTAATATTAATTAATCCCAATTTCTAACAGATTGTTGACATGAATGTCACATCATTTCTAAACAAGAACGAGGACTGCTGAAATGCCTAGAAGATTAAGTCTCTTTTCTCAGCTGAGGAGAGAAAAACCATTCTTTCTATTCCGCTAAGCAAAAGAAAACTTGATGATGAAGTGTGGTGGAGAGCGGATTCTAAAGGAGTTTATACTCTTAAGAGCACGTATAAGATGCTTTGAGGTGAATATATACTAATGGCTGGTTGGGGTGGACTAAGATACCCCTTTAATATTTTTTTTGGGCAGCTTATGTCAAGAGTCTTACCTACTGCATCCAACCTGGGAAGGAGATGAGTCAGTAGGGATAGTGTTTGCAAAGTGTGCGAAGAAGATTCTGAAATAAAGACTCACATATTTCGGCAATTTCGCTATTGTCGAGTTGTTGGGGCTGTTTGGCAGGGTAGTCGGTTAATTCGACATGGGAGACATTTATTTATTGGATTCAATGTTTTTTTGATAATCTTGAACAAGATGAACTTTGTTGTTTAATAACCAGACCTTTGGAGACTTTGGAAGACTCGAAATGATAGGGTATGGAAAAATAATGAAGCTCGTTGGCAGCAGGTGATGTTGGTTGGGGAAGCTACTCTTCGGAGTTGGAGAACTGCACAAGGGAAGTCAACATAGAGGTACAAAACTGAGGCCGAGATAACAGTTAGGAAGAAGCCGATATCTGGCACAATAATAAAGATAATGTAGATGTGACTTTGAACATGGGGAGGGGAAAACACGCCTAAGTTTGGGTGGCCAGAGTCGAGGAATGATGATTTTTGCGCGGCGGGTGCTAAACAATATCAGCAAACTGGTCCACGGGAGTTTCAGAGGCTATTGGTGTCTAGGATTTTTTTAGCATGGATCAAAGACCAGGGGTGGTCAAGATAGAGTAAAATTAGAAACAAACTCTCAATTGGTGGTTGTAGCCTTATTAGATAGATACCGGGAGTTGTATTTCAACTTGATTATTAAAAAACATAAGACACATTCTTCGTGATGAAGCTAACATTTATGAGGTCATCCATTGCAAGAGGTTCGGCAATGGAGTTCACAAATTAGCTAGGGTCGTGCTTTCAATGTCAGATGGTTTGTTACAGTGTTTATAGTTTATACCCACCCGATTGTATTGTATCACAGTTGGAGAATGAAAAGTTGAGTTAATAATATGTTTGTTTTCCTTTCAAAAAAACCTAGATTGTAGCTACTGAAAACTTTGTACTTATATATTATGGAGCCCCTTTCTCTTCCATTTTTGTACAATTACTTATAAATGCTAAAATCCAAGTTTTTGATACCTCATGGCCGTTAATTATTTAGGAACCGAATTGCACCGAAGAACCGTACCGAACCATATTGAAAGTTCTTTTATTTTTAGAAGAACAATACTTTTGGAAAGAGACAGGTTCTTTAAAATAATTGTCTGGTACTATCCGATGCTTACTCCTAGTTTCAAACATATTCCCAACTTTCACGTAAGAATTAAGAAGGTGAGATATTGATATGAGACTTCTGTTTGTGTTTGGGCTCGAAGGTACGGAAGTTCAAATCCAAGTACAATCCAATATATAGTGTTAAAAAAGAATACACTTGACCATTTTTTAATTTACAAAATGTCTATGTTAAATGGATTTAAATACATTTCTAGTCTCTTCAAATATGGTAGATTTTATTTTAGATCCCTATAATTGTTCTTGTCTTTCATTTTTATAATATGTACTACCTCTGTCTCATTTTCCTCTGTCTCATTTTATGTGTCCTAGTTTGACTTGACACGATTATTAATGAATTGGTTGAAAAAGTAAAAATTGTGGTTAAGGTTTGCGTATAATAAAGTGAAATGGTGTAGACCATATATTTCTTTCCAAAAAAGAAATGAGACACTTATTTTGGGACAATCCAAAAATGGGACGGAGGAAGTACCATTTTCTTTTTAATCCATCTTCAACTTTGAGACCACTCTCTTTAGGAAAAAGTTATTGCCGGTTGCATAAATATACTAGAAATTTTAAATTCATCATTTAATTTTTTTTGAGGCTAATATGGAAGTTAAATAATGTAAAAGTAATTATTCACATTTTAAAATATGTTTTAAAAACCACCTACCATACAAATTACTCCCTCCGTCCCTAAATGTTGTTCCAATTGCGGATTACGAAGGTTGACTGACGATAAAGTTAAATGATCTCTGTGAAAACTCGAATTATTTTTAGTAAATAAAATTTACATATTCAGAAACTACATTAAACCTTCTACAAAGCCTGCAAAAAATAATTCAACTTTTATAAAATTTTGATATAAAAAGTAAGAGTTTGAGAGTGATTTAAGTTGACTCTCGATAAGCGAAGTGGAACTTCTTTTAGGGACGGAGGGAGTAAATACTTTTTAAACAAAATGACAAAGAATGAGATGACATCTATTTATTGGGGTTGCATTATTATCAAACGGAGATTATTATCATCTGTCAAAAAAAGAAAAAAGAAAAGCATATATATATATATATATATATATATATATATATATATATAGAGAGAGAGAGAGAGAGAGAGAGAGAGAGAGAGAACTTCATGTCAGGCCGGCCTGACGGGCTGCCCCGTCCGGCCGAGCCCGTTTGGGCACCTTCCCAATGGAATTTTTTGATGAAATGTTTTGAGCATGTTCCTCATCAAGTCTAGTTTGTCCATACCAAATTTCAGCTCAAAATTCAATCGGGAAGGTCGTCAAAAATTTTTTGCAAGTTAACTGGTCCGGAATATGTATTTTCCGGACCAGTTAACTTGCAAAAATCATTTGATGACCTTCCCGATCGAATTTTGAGCTGAAATTTGGTATGGACAAACTAGACTTGATGAGGAACATGCTCAAAATATTTCATTAAAAAATTCCACCGGGAAGGTGCCCAAACGGGCTCGGCCGGACGGGGCAGCCCGTCAGGCCGGCCTGACATGAAGAGCACTCTCTCTCTCTATATATATATATATAGAGAGAGAGATGAAAAACCAAAAAAATAATATAAAAACGTAATACAAAACACTCTGTATTTACAAAGACTAAAAATATATTTAAACATATTAAATACCCAAGGCTTGTAAGGTGTTTTAAAACCTTTTGTTTAAATACAAAAATGGAGTGTATTTATTTGAGGCCTGTCTTGACATATTGAGATTTTGTGACATCTTCATGTATTTAAATAAGACATTCTAAAACTCCTTACAAGTCTTAAGATATTTAATAGACATTCTAGAACTCCAAATATGCTTGTTGAGCCATCAATGTGGACCGGATCCCGCGAGTTGACCCATTTTAATACATTTAGCAGTGCGTTAGAGTTCATTTTTGAATCCGGTTAATTCACGGTTTCACGGGTTGCTCCATATGGGTTTCGATTTGCAAGTGGATTGATCCAGGGGCCAAAATACAAACCTATATATTTGACTTTCAACATCATTAGTATTGTTCTTTTACTCCTAAGATTATGAAATTTGAAACTATATAATTATCTCTAATATAATTTGTCAAATAAACGATTCAAGAGTATTTTTATGTTGTAACTGAATATAAATTTAGCAATTAGTAATAATGATTTATAAATATTTACTCAAAAGGTTTAAGTATATCTTTACTCTTGTATAATGAGTACTTTTGTTATACCCTCTTATAGATTGTGGTATAATTATGAATTTAATATTGTTTAAATTAAACAAAAATTTGAGTGCTTAGCATTTTAATTTCTTACCACTACATACCAATATAAGTATAGACGTTCCGTGATATATCATGTATACATTTTTTACAATGACCCACAATCCAGCCAGTAAGATCCACAAGTTAAGTGAGATGGATTAAAATTGTAGAACTTCTGATCATCATTAAACGAGTTTAACCGATCCAACTCACAAAATCATTTTATGACCCAGAAGTAGAATTCTTTCCAAAAAAAACCAGAAGTAGAATTGGGTCGGGCGGTTTGATCTGTTAGACAGCTTCATGGGTTTGGTTTGGGTGTATCCATGGTTACACAAAGGTTACCCAAAAGCCCTACCCAAAATTTGGTTGAATTCAGAATTTAGATGATCCAACTTAAAAGCCCAAATATACTGCAGAAATTCCATATCAAAGTCTCACTTCTGGATTTGGAAAGCTTGAATTGCCGACCAGGAAGCGAAGAACGGCCGCTCATCTCTAGGGTTCAGGTAGGCATTTCTTCACTATCTTCTTTCATACTTGCTTGAATTGAAGTCCAATCGATTACCCATGAAACTACTGAAAGTGTTATGTTTACCATCTCTCTTTATATTGGATTTCTTGCTTTTTCTTTGTTCTGGCAAAGTAGCTAGGTTGTCTTACGATTTATTCAACCCCTAATCCATGGATTCTTCTCTTCTGTAATAGAATGGGAAGTACGGAGTATAATTTATAAGGTTGCGAAGAAGTAGGATGGGAACACAATGAAATTCCCTTTTTATCAAATTACTGATTTTTTTTAAATGCCCAACAAAGCCTCCTCTTCCTGGTGACCAGCTGAACCTTGCACGAAATTGTTTCGGACTTTCAATTTTGTAAGCTAGGAAGACCTCAAAATTTGTTGAGCTTCCAATCTTTTGCAGTCAAGGCACAGTTTGGGGTCCTCTTTAATAGGTACTACGTATAATAGAGGGGGGTTCGTATGCGTTTGGCATAAACTACGCTAGCTTCTAATCATGTGCTTTCTGTTTCCACTAAGTTGAAAGAATCCAAAAAACTTGATCCTCCAGACACAGGTTCTCATATCAAATTAATGATTTTATTAATTTTCCACTAAGCAGAACTCTATTAGGCTATTAGGATGAAGAAGGTTAGGAGGTTTAATAAACTGTACTTAGAGAACCAACGCTTGTACTCAAGAATCTCCATTTTCAAGCCAAATTTTAGATCACAATATATTTTTGTTTTCACTTTTTAAACTACAACCAGCTTTATGCTTTTTGTTTGCCTATTCAATTGCTGGGATTTTACGATACATAATTTCTGTGGTTCAGGTTTTAATTGCTTGGATTTTTGTTCTCAATATGAGTTGATTTAACATGTTGAGTATGAGATTGTTATGCAAATGATTCATAAAGGAGTGAGAAGGTGCATTAGCTTGAATTGAGTAATCCGTGTAATGCTGAATTCTTTTGTATAAGTTTATTACGATTTCCTTCCTATAAAGCATTTTGTATAGTTCTACATATAGTTCTGAAAGGCTTACTTGAATTTATCTTAACCTCTCATGCTAAATGTTTGTTACCTATAAAAGAAACTAATATCATAATACATATATGTGTACTAGTATGATAATACACATACTATCTTAAACCTAGCTTCTAATATTCAACAATAAAAATTTCCATATTAATATTAAAATATACGTAGTACTGCGTAAGTACATACCATAATGTAACGACATTAATTTTGACAGCAAGGTAGAAAGAAAGATATATATATATATATGTGTGTGTGTGTGTGTGTGTCTATATCTATATATAAAGAGAGAGAGAGAGAGAGAGAGTGAGAGAGAGAGAGAAATATTACACAAAAATAACTGAAAACAAAAAATATTACTTACCTGTGTCATTTCTTTGTGAAAGCACAGCTTGGTGGTTGCTAGGCGGTCTTGGTGGTTGCTGGGTCTTGGTATAATAAGTCTTAACAAAGGGCCTGTTTAATCAACTCACGTGTGATGCGTTAGCAATTTAGGGTTGTGTAAGTCTCAACTTAGACTGAAAGGACTATTTAATATGGCCCTATTTTTAAAAATGTCTAAATATGGCCCAATTGTGACACAAATGGCACAGACGATGGAGCAATAATGGTGCTGCCACAGGTATTCTCATCGTAAGGTCCTGGGAATGTGGAAAAAACCACCTAAAGTGCTTATGGTGATCACCTTTTGCGCCATCGATTTCTCTCATTATAGCAAGTTGTCATGATTCTGATAATCAATGTATTGGAAGTAATCTTTTGTGCAATTGGGACTTAACTACTATAGACTGATAGTCTATGGCTTTTGTTTCTTGAGGTTTCAAAACAATTCCATAATATAGAACCTAAGTCTCACATGTGGCATGCATTTTTTGGTTGATTGACATGGCATACATTTAATATGTGGGGATATAATAATCCTAGTAATAACTGCATGACACATCAAAAACGTTTTCTCTCTAGCCAAGAGATATACATGGCACATATAAACTTGGTCTCCATAGTCAAGATATGCGAGTCTCCAAGGGTTTGCCCCTAATCCACAAAATTAAATTCATCCTGCTGAACTTTTATGCAATAAACTTGTACATCCCATCTTTTAAGTTGCATTTTTTTAAATTCAGATGGAGAATGCTGAAAATGTTCTTCCACCGTCAAAAAAGAGGGCTGCTGGGAGGGAGCTATCACGAGACAATCCCGGCCTTGATGATGACGAGGTGCCAGAGCAAGAGTCTGGAACCTTCAAGAAGGCGAGTGAGGAAGTGATGGCAAATAGAAGGATTGTAAAAGTTAGACGCCATATGACATCATCAACCCCGTCTACTCCTTCATCTAACCCTTTTGCTGGAATATGTTTGGTTTCACCTGGGACTGTTCCTTTGGAATCCAAAGATGAAACTCAAGCAGTGAAAGTAGACAGGATAGAGGAAAAACATGACGTGAACAAGGACTCCGAGGAGGGAAAAGCTCACTGGTGTGTTCTAATCCCGGAAAATACTGCCTAAAAACTTCTGTTTCTTATGTTTCATTCTACTTTTCAAAACATAATTAATCAATGTGTGTGCGCGTGAGTGCGTGCGTTCATGGGTGGGTGCGTGTGGGTGTGTACATCATGTTTTTCCTCTAGTTGTCTATTTTCATAACTTGTGTTTTATCTATGGCAATTTTTGGAAAGGATGCACTTATATTACCACACGGTTGCACTTGCAAATATCAAAATGTGCACTTTTAAGAAAATGATGATCCTCTGAATTGCACCTTATTACTGTTCTGTTAGCACATATTTTCCTCTGATTTTTTAAACTCTTAGATTCAGATTTCAGAATTTAGTTCACTAAATTTATTCTCAATTTTCACCATCGTGGCATATTTTGTATTTGATCCTATATATGCATATTTATTTAATAAACTTCGTATTAGGTGGGCTCTGACCCCACCAAAATTTTGGTGGTTCTCTTTTGGGTTAAGTATGTGTGTGTGTAAGGTCTGGTTCACGGAGGTGCGCATTTGTAGTTATAATATATAGTTCAAATGTGCACATTTGTGGTTAAAATAATGAACAATTCTAATGCACTTTTTTTTAATTTATTGATAGTGCACATTTCTGTTTCACATAATGCATGATACCCAAATTCAATGTTCCAAAATCGTGCTCATTTCTCTCCTTAGATCATGTTTTCCTTTGAACTAAGTTATATATGTGTGTGTACACCCACCCACACACACGCACACATTTTTACACAAATTTTAAAAAGGCCTTAATTGTTTGTGTTAAAAGACTTTGTGTAATTTTGTTTCCAAAAAAAAAATCTTTGTACCGGTCCAGCCATGTTTAGTACTCTGGATACAAAACACACACATATAGGCGCATATATTTGTGTGTGTATATATATATGTACCGATGTACGTGTATGCATAATTGCATATGCATATGTATATGTGTATATATATTTGTCTGAATATTCTCTCGTATATTCTTCGTGTAATTTTTTTTTTCCAAAAAAATCTTTGTACCGGTCCAGCCTGGTTTAGTGCTCTGGCTACAAACACACATACAAGCGCATATATGTGTGTGTATGTATATATGTACGTGTATACATAATTGCATATGCATATGTATATGTGTATATATATTTGTCTGAATATTCTCTCTTATATTCTTTCAGTTTATTAATTTTTATTCTGCCTTTTCCAAACCTAGTGTTTTTGAGGTACCAAGTGAACCCAATGTGAACAAGGGAATCAAGGCTGGAAAAGCTGACACAGGCAAGGAAACTGATGCTGGTAAATCTGACGTGGATAGGGAATTTGAGGAGGTAAATGATGATGAGAACAAGGAAGCGGATAAGGGAAAAGCTGACGTGGACAAGAAAAAACAACCAGAAAAGCAGACCAGTGAAGCAGAGGGAGTGGTTTCGACTATTGACAAAAATAAGACGGAGAATGAGCCTAATAAACAACCTGACACCGTTGAAGCTGATGAGAAGACCAATGGAAATGAGAAAGACACTAGTGAGAAAACAGTGAATGAAGACCCATCATCTCTCAGCTCATTCCAGCATCTCTCAAGTACTCGAAATGCTTTTACAGGACTAGCAGGAACTGGATTCTCCGGGTCAACTTTCTCATTTGGACCTGTTTCAAAAGATGGTCCCATTCTTGCTGACCAATCCTCGCTGAGTTTCGGTGGCCATTCAAATGACAACGTTTCCATTTTTGGAGGGCCTGCTGGATTCCCGCCAATGCAAGAGGTTCCTGTTCAAACGGGGGAGGAGGATGAAAAACCCGTCTTCACAGCTGATTCTGCCCTTTTTGAATATCTTGATGGAGGGTGGAAAGAGAGGGGGAAGGGAGAACTCAAAGTCAATGTTTCCAAAAATGAAATGAAAAAAGGAAGACTAGTTATGAGATCAAGAGGGAATTGCCGGTTGATATTGAATGCTAACCTCTACCCTGAGATGAAACTTACAAATATGGACAAAAAAGCCGTCACGTTTGCCTGCATTAACAGTGCTTCTGGGTCTGGAGGGAATTTGGTTACGTTTGCCCTGAAATTTAAAGACTCTTCATTTGTTGAAGAGTTCCGGGCAGCGGTAGCGGAGCATAAGGGTTGTCCTGAAAAGACACCGAACTCACCTGATGCTTCTGAGGTGTAATGGGCCCGCTCCGTGGTTTTGAGATATATATGAGTGATGATTATAACACAGGCGTTTCCTCCTCTGATGCTCTTACTTTTCGTGCTTCCCTTGTTGAACAAGCAGAGGAAGTGTTAGGACGGTTGTGGTGGAGGGACTAATGGCCTCTTTGATGTGAAGATGCTTGTAGTCTTCAAGTTCAAGTACTTATATTTGAGTCTTTTTTTGTCGTTGATCTCATGTAGAACCAAACTGGATGATGTCACATTTATACCTCTTTTAGTGAAAACATTGCCCAATGCAGGAGGCTCAGGTGGGTGACCGTGGGTCTACAAGTGAGTTCCACATGTTGAACGTGACTTCGGTTGGGTGGGGTGGGGGATTTTATATGAATATTTTCTGGTTGCCAAATTTGTTTTCTTTTTCATTTTTAACTATGATGCTTGAAGCCTGAAGGTGGTCGCAGATTGTCCAAGGTTAGGGGTGGACCCGGTCCCATTCCTGTCCCGGACCGGCTGGGCAGATTCTGGTCTAGGATCGGTTGGTCCCGTTTAGTGCTAGGGGAAGCCTGGATTCAATCTGGTTAAACGTTGGTCTGAGCTGATTAAATGTCCGGTCCTAGACTCCTAGTCTTGGGATGGACCTGGATGGACCTGGTCTGATTATATTTTATTTATCATTTTCAAATTTCAAGAAAAAAAAAATGGTCGGCCCAGGACCGAAATAGAAACCGGGTAACATGTTTGGTCAGACTATGGGCGGTCCCAGGCCTGAACCGGACTTTTAGGCACCTGTTTGTGCGTACTACAATAGTAGTTGATTTAATCAATATAATAAAAAGATAGTGCATCAAATATGGAAATCAAAAGGCAATCGCGAAAAGGGATTCAGGTGCAATCCGAAGGACAAGTCTGGCATTGACTGGCCGCAACTGGCGCAAATTATACCGTGGGATCGGTGCACCATGAGCATGGTGTACCGATCCCTAAACGGTGTCTTTTAATTAAAAAAAACTACGTTATGCTTCACAGAAGTCCTGCACGCAGCCGCCGAGCGTCAAATTGGATCCGACCAACACAAACCAAAGCGATCCTATTTAGCTTTGGCTGATTGCAACGATCTCATCCAGCGATCAAATAATCACGTGTGTGAATGGATGCTTTGGCTTCGGCTTGGCCACTTCCGTTCCTTCCACTGATATCCAACCCTATTGGCATCAATGGATGCATCCACAAATATTAGAGATGAAGAACTGAAGAAGCTTCGGATTACATAGTTGTGATAGATGTTCTTGTTGGCTGATTAGAAATCTTCACACACACACACATTACAGTTTAAGGACTTTAAACAATTTATATTTTGATTGGCCAAATTACATCTGAAAATACATGTACTTACATCAGGATTTGTCTAAAGTTACAAGTCTATTAGCGTGAGTTACATGTCAACTTTCTTCAACAAGTTACATCATACTTGCACGTGATTTACACTTTATACTATACGAGTTACATCGCAATATAATGCGAGTTACACAACACAATAAACCCTTGATATTCAAAGAAAAATTATTTTTATAAAAAAATCATTTTTTATAGTCACGAGTTACATTTTCCATAAAACTAGTTACATACCAAAATAAACTCCACCTTTTGAAACAAAAATTTCATTTTTTTTGCAAAAAAAATGGTTTTTGACAAAAAAGATATTAAAAAAAATATTTTTTATGGCCTTAATATTAAAAACAAAACATATTCCCTATTTACCTAAAGTAATTGAGCAATTAGACTCCTTGTTTTCATTGTTTACATTGAAATCAATGTTGTATTTCTTATACTCAGTATTACACAAGTTACATTTCGATTTACCTGCAGTTATACATTTTCCCAACGTGAGTTACATTTCTTTACACGTGTGTTACACCGCCCTGCTGCTGGGACAAGAAAAAAAAAGTTATTTTTCACGCGCGTAAACAGTAACACGCGAATTTGCCTTTGGGAGCATCATCCTCATCGTGGGTTGCTCCCACGGTATAACAACTCTTGACTGGCCATCCATAATGACACCAAGCCGGTCCAATAGATATATTGACGCTAGGAGAAGGGATTTCACTGAGAAGGTGACAATGCTGCTAACCACCAGAAACATATGGATGTGCATCGATAATTTTGATATGAACAAGGCATACTTCATGGACTCCTTCCCAATGTCCAGGATTGACTTATGAGCGGATGAAACAATTGAGTGCAAGTTACAGAGTTTCACAGATGCCTTTAGGGGTTATCATCAAGTATTAATGCACCTCTAGGGGTTATTATCAAGTATTAATGCCCCTCGACGATGTAGAGGAGGCATCCTTTGTGACGTTGGACAATGCTTACAACTACATCATGATGTTGCTCAGTCTCCAGAATGTCATGGTCACCTTTCAGAGGATGATCAACATAGTTTTTGAAGAGGTGCTTGGAATCAAGATGGAGTCCTATGTCAATGACATCTTGATTAAAAGAAAGAAGAATACGGATCACATTTGAGGCAGGGAGATGATCTTTGTGATAAAGGAGGCCGCCAATATGAGGCTGAACGTTGTTGTTTGGGGATCCCCATCATCCTTGGGAGATCCCCACCAACAATCTTAGGCATGTATACCAGGAAAAAGTCATCAACAAATGTGATGAAGTAAGAAAAACCTTCTCAAGATTAAGCTGAGAATTATCCACACTCAATTGTACGAATCAACTCGAGCACTTTGTTGGTCCACAATTCTTTTCCTAGAAAAGGTTAGTGGTCATTTTAGCTGAAATACGTACAAGATTCACAATTCCTATGATTAACAATTGAGTAGTGTTGATTATTCTAAGAGCATCTCCAATAGGAGGCTGTTCACATTAAAAAAAATGGGTTACGTCATCCTTGTTTAACTTTGGAGTAAAAAGTTTGTCTCCAAGGGAGGATGTAAACATGGATGTTATGCTGACATGTCAAAAAATAAAGTTGACATTGTCTAGATCGTAGTCTTCATATGACACTGCCTTCAACATGCTGAATCAGCAAAAAACGGAGCCAAAATATCGAACTTCTCCTGTCCATGATCCACGTACGTACATGCTCCTAGCAGTTACAAACTTTCAATGTTTTATTTGAATTAAAAAAAACACATGTAAAGAAATGCTAGAAATCAACCGAATGCATTGTGGAGCATTTGGGTGAACATTCCATACATCTCGTATCAAGCTTTGACATTCATCCTACATGGATAAATATTCCATACATATGTTGCCATGTGTCACAATTTTTTAAATGTTGAAAGCCTCCCATTAGAGATGCTCTAATTTACTTAATCATGATATTTTGTTTTGTACATTTGATATGTCATATCATGTAATTACTCTTTTTTTGAAAACATTTTTCTAATTACTTTATCATGATATTTTGTTTTGTGCATTTGATATGTCATATCTACATTTAAGCTTATACTTCCTCCGTTCTTTAATAGTTGCAACATTTAACCATGATTTTTTACTAATACATATAACCAAATTATTACTTATAAAATGCTACTCCACATTAAATTTCTATTAATGTGAATTTCCAAAATATTAACTTTATATAAGGTTAACTACTATGTAATTAAATATAATTATAGTCAAACTACGGGTATCAGTGCTTTATAGGGTATGACAATGGGGATGCTTCAGAGAGGGAGAGAGAACACACATTTCAGTGATTGAGGACCTATGTGACTGAAACAATCAGAACATTTGCAACAAGGCTCACCTGGTGACGAAGGAAAAATGAACACAAAATCTCAACATACAGGAAAATGCACCAATGATCGCATCACATTAGGACAAGATCCCAATCACATCTCGATTTTAAATGACCTGAGGGAATTCATTGCTTTTTCTAGGGAGAATTTTATTTACCTTTTGGGTTAGGCACCTATCTCTTTCTTGTTGTTTTCTCAGTTATGTTGTTCTTCACTTCTTCTCCCTTTTTAATTTTCATTTTTTCTATGTAATTTCCTTCGGCCTTTTTTCGTTAAAAAAATTCCTTTTCAAAAATAAATAAATATAATTATAATTAAAGTTGTGCATTGATAAGCGTGAAAGTCAAACTGTTGCAACTATTAAAGAGCGAGAGATAATATAGTATAAACCATTCATTAGCATTTTCATAAACACCACGATCTCACGAAAACGAATAGCGAATATTTTTAACAAAATGAACGGAAACCCCTTCAATGTCTAACAAAGAAGTGAAAATTATAGAAATAGTAATAGAAGGAAAGAAATAAAAATTATTTAATTCAAATTTATAATCAACTCGGTAAATCTAAATTGTATGTCCTGACACGCTCAACAACAAATTTTGCTACATTCCCAACACGTACGTATTTCGATTTCACTCAGTCTAACTGCTCCACGTACTTTTACCTAGACCCGACCTGCACATTATTACAAATATGTGTGGCACAAGTTGTATCAAATATCCAACAATGAGAGTATTTATCTGAATGACAAAATAAACAGGCTAGAAGCTCCAAGTTCTTTGTCTTGATCTGCCTTGTATAGGTTGCAACCCAGAGTCAGAGGTGGAGGGGTGGCCAACCGGGCCACGGCTCATCCCAAATTTTAAAATTGCATATATTTTTAAATTAAAAATTTATCTGCAAAAATTTATCTGTAAAATTTCTTTGTATTGGCCCAGCCCAACTCTTACTCCTGGCTATGCCCCTGTAATGCAACCTATCTTCCAGTACCCCTTCTCTTTGTAGTAGAGGCAAATATCCTTTGGTACGTACTTTTGATTTTCTGCTGAACTCCATCATTAGATTTCAGAGTTGTGGGCTTCTCTCCATGCTTACCTTTAATTTGTTCTCATACTTATTCTTTCTCATAGAACCAGAATAAGCAGTAAAGCTCTCCATATCCCTTAGAGGTAGTAGAAGCTTCATAAGATTTGAGCATGTTATGGAGTCTAGCATAGTCACTTTCATTTTGTTTATGCTATATTCACAAATGAAATTAGAAAATGGATCAAGAAGCTAATGGAGAATGATGGCAGGAGAATCATGATCCTCATAATTAATTCTGGAGGTAACAACTTTTTCACTTAAGCCACTTGTTTTAAGGACATGATCAAACGTAACACTGCCACCATAAAAAAAGTACATTTAAAAATGCCTATCATAATTTCACTCTTATCCAACACGTACTCAATGATTTCTTACCCAGGAACTAAATGCGCATTCCTTTCCATGTATAGAAAGTCTCGTCCGGTCAATTTACATGTATCTCATATACTTCGTATTTCTCAATGATAAATTGGACATTCCTAAAACTCTAGAGAAAATGAATAGAATGGGAATTACAATTCATACATTTATTCCTATAATCACGTAACTGATAAAAACAGAATATTCATTATTTAGCGCAGCTCCCACTATATTTATGCCCTTTGACCCCAACAAAAAGAGTTGGACTGATTCTACAATCGTAGCTTAGTGGCCAATATCCACATGTGCATTGTTACACAGTCCTTGTTTGGACTGAGTGACTGACTATAGCAATACCAAGCAATTCTTAATTGATCAATATTAAATTGATCAATATCCTTAGTTTATGTACACTAGTGTCCACACTTGGACAACTTATTGTGGTAATTTAAGTAAGTCAAAACCTTCATATAATCATAAACAAATATATGTATGAATTAGTTTTAGTAATATCGTGCAGAATTGAATAAACACTTGATTGAAATACCCTGAATGAAACAAGTATATCTTCTAATTCGGTTATAATGTCGGGTGATGTCACTACTTACCTTATATAAGAATTAACTCAAGACTATGGACAACATTTTAACGTAACGTATTACATTTTATCAAAGATGAAAGATGCTATAACATATTATCATAGAGATATAAACTATATTTTCTCCACAGTCAAGCCGGTACGTTGAGAATTGATGTAAAGCTAGAAATGAGATGTCTTCAATTCTACGATAATTTGCTCCTCAACGGGTCCTTAATTGACTACCTACCTATGCCTAGGCTCCTTAATTGTCTTCAATTCCGGATTTAATTTCTTTCAAAAATCAAATAATTAGTCGACAGAGAGCTAGAGTAGAAATACTCAAATCTGTGCATCTTCTTCTCAATCAGTTTTAGGATTAATTGATAGGGTGGATTTAACAAAAAAAAACAGATTTTAC